TAATATTTAGTGGCACCATCCGTCTGTCGACCCATCCATCCATCCATCTTTTACAGTTTAATCCTGTTAAGGGTCATGGGGATCTCAAGCCAGTCCCAGCTAACAGTTCTATATATAGTTTAGATACAAAATTCACCCAAACATTTCAGTTGAAACACTGGTGCCAGTCAGTGCAGTCAGAGGATGTTACATGAGCAGAATTATCATAAAGAGTCAAAGCTCACTCATGGTTGCCATGGTCAATATGCCCCCCTGCTGTGCCCCCTCATGAACCTCCCCCCACCTCCCTCTCAAATGCTCCCTTCTTTTCTTCCTCTTCTGCCACCCTGACTCCCCTTCCTGCTCTTCTGTCTTTTTCACCATATTCCCTCCTTCCTCATTTCCTCTTCATTTGCCTATTATCCTTTTTTTCCCCCATTTTAATTTCTCTCTCCCTTCCCCCGTCTTTTTGCCTTCCCTCCCCCATCTTCCCTTCACGCCACAGTGGCCGCCCCACAGGCCTTCGACGAGCCTTAGCACGGCACGGCACGGCACACACAGGCGACCTTCACTGCACTATGGCACCAATACCAACACCTACGACAGGACAGCAGCTCCAGAACATCATGCCACACTCCTCACCAACACTGATGTCTTATGGGTAGTGTGATATAACTGCAGCTTGTGTTGTGCTGCTGGACCTGCTGTACTCACACTGGGGCCATGAAGAAGAATACTTGTTAATATTAATACCCTAATACTTGTTTGCATGTATTTACTACAACAAATACACATGAATGTCAGGAAGAGTTTCCTGAAAAATTAAATTGTATATAATACATTATCAAAAACTAAAATAAAATGTAATAATGTCTAAAACAAAGGAAATTCCACCTGGTCATGAAAGGGTCCAAAAGAAAATATTTGGCTTTTTACAAGGAGCTATTTTGTCCTTACAGTAGGTATTATTCACAATATTAGGGCATTGGTGTCATTGGATACACTGGGGTAACTTATATAATCTTTCTTTTAATGTAAGATCTCGTGCAGTAGGTATAATCTTAGCTACGCTACATGCTGTTTTTTCTTTTCTTTTCAACCAACGTTTGATTATATTAACCTCAAACTGACAAACTTATTAGTGTTTTTGGTGAACTCTTCATTACCTTCCTGCTGTCTTGAACAGCTTTTTGTATCTAAACTTGCTTGCATGTTCTACATTTTTGACAGTTATACATAGAGGATGTCAACGGAGTGCCAAAGCTACAGAGCCAGGGCTGGATATGATAACATATAGCTAGTGATCAGTGGTATTTTCCAGAGTCCCTCCTACAAGTCAGAGCCTGCCTTCCATCATCAATCCATCATTTCAGATGCTGAACTCACAACCCGTGACTGCCTGGTGAACTGTGTATTTCAGCAAACAACAAACAGCAGCAAAATATACTAAAGAACAGCTGAGGAACTATGAGGAGCCAATAACAAATTGACAATAATAAATATTGCACCTGAAAATGAGACCAGATTCTTTGTTCTAGCAGAGCAGCATTTGTTTTCTGGAAAAACCAGTACCAGCAGTTGGTCTCAGTTGGACTCAGTTGGTACTTTCCTTCAGTTTGGACGGTGAGCAGTAAAACCCAGGAATTTAGGTCAGTCCCTCACCATCACTGCTTAGATGGCCACAACTAAAGTCCACTCGTGACTTCATTAAGAATATCTGTAGAAGCTGGGACCTGGGTGAAGCTGAATCCACCGCGCTGGTGTGTGTGTCTGTGTGTGTGTGTGTGTGTGTGTGAACCCAGTCGACTAAAACGAACAATACTGTCAGCAATACCTGTCTCGAGCTTCAGATGTGTGACTGTGTGTGTGTGTGTGTGTGTTGCTGGTTTGGGTGTCACCTGTCAAGCTGTCGTAGCACTCGATCTCGGTGCTCTCCACGGCTCTGCGCTGCTCCTCGGTCAGCTTGGCCGCGGCGCGGTTCTGTGGGTTCACGGAGCCCGTCGTCCCGTCGACAACATGCACGCCTTTCAGCTGCAGCAGTGCCCGGTGGTATTTGCCTATGGCTTCCCGAAATTTCTTCTCCTTGTAGCATCGGTTCCCTTCCAACTTGAAGTCGATGGCTTTCTGGATCTTCGCCTCCATGTCCATGTCGCTAGAGCCGGCTCGGTGGCCTCCTCCTCCTCCGTCTCCTCCGGCGGCTGCTGCCAGACTCCGACCGCCGGTCTCCGGGTAGCTTTTTAGGCTCTTGATCGGGTGCTGCTTCGCATCCATCTCCCTCAGTAAAGGCGGCTGGCGCCGGCCATGGTGCTCAGACGCGAACGTGTGTTTCGTCGGGGAGGACTGGAGCAGCGTGCTGTGCATAAAGGATGCGGGTTGAAAGCGGCGAAGGCGGTTTGATCAGGCGGAGGCTCCGGGAAGACGACGAGCCTCAGGAGCGCCACTGCTGTGAGATGATGTCTTTAAAAAGAAAAGGTCTAGATGGGAAAAGACAAAAGAATAATGAGAAGAATAAAGATCGCAGTCACAGGTGGACGAGGGAAGAATAAAGAGAGGGGAGAAACATTCTGGAATTCCAAACCAACAGTTTTCCAATCCCTGGCTCAGCTCCTCTGGTGGAGGGATGCTCGGCTGGATTTCTATGGTAGCGGCTTCTGAGGCAGGAGCAGCTTCAGCACCACAGACAGCGCACAGTCACGCGAACACGCACATACACACATACCACAAACACAAACCGCAAAGCATTGTGGGAGAGAAAAAGTCGTGAGGCGTTGCTGCAGTCCACATTTTATAAGACAAATCCCGAACCAATTCCTGGAAATTACTTTTAATTACCTTTAAATAGATTAACAAGAAAAAGAGGAGAAATTATACAAGTAAATTCAAATATTGTTGTTTGTACTTTGTAGGTTTTTTTTTTTACATATTTTTTCGGAAGGTTACGCCCTGACAGTAAAAGCACTCTGATATTTACCACATTTGAAGCACAGCTGCAGTGTTGCAGCTGACTGAGCAAACGTTAGGTCTGCGAAATATTCATTTCATGACGTCATCCCCATTGTGTGGAGACGGAGAAAGCGTCGGGGTAAAAATGTAAATATTAAAAAACTAATATATAAATAAATGCATCACGTGTTTCAACTGAACACACTTTAAATTCCTGTCCTGTGCAGACACTGAATGCCAACCAAACTGATGACTTCAGCTGATAAGGTTTTCATGGAGACGGAGACAGGCAGCAGGAGGCTGGAGGAAACGGTGGCAGAGAGCGACCCCCAGAGGACAGGAAAGTCAACTACACTCATGGCTTATGTCATGGCTGGTTGGGGAAGTAGACAGACATGTTTTGCATTATTGATCAACGATTACGTAACAACCTTTCAGCATATATTTCTTTCATGAAGGGCTGATAAGAGTGTTTCTACACTGAACCACCTGTGGGCTCCAGTTACTACACCCAACAGATATACATATACATACATACATATACATACATACATACATATATATATATATATACACATACATATATATATACATACATTAGTGTGTACCACTTGTGAAACTCGTGCTCCATCTAGTGGTACACGGGAATAAATTATTTGAAAAAACTTGATAAAACTTGAACATATATTGTCGGACCTTCTAGAGTACCAACCAGTACTTCATAATCAAAAGTAACTATATTTAGACCTACAACGCCTGATATATGGATTAAACAACTTCGTTTTGAAAATTAATAATTTGTCTATCCATCAGTGAGTAGAATTAAAACAGAGGCTTCAAAGCTCTGCTCACAAGATAAATACACCTTCAACATACTTACAGTCAATGTTTTGCCAATAACGTATTGAAGCCCTTGCCTTAAAGCAAACTGAAAGTGTGTTTTAACAGTTTCATTGATGAACCGTCAGCTTAAGTGTCCCAGCGGGTTACAAATATTGACTTATCTGTAACTGTATGTTGTTCACTAAATGAGTTGACCTACACAGTATGTCACTAACAGGGCTTCTACGACTTTATCACAGAAAAAAAATACACAACAACAAAGGTGACAGCTCAGTCTCTATTATTATCCAGGGACATTTCCTCTTTTTCTTGTTTGTCCTGATATCTTTAAAATGTTTTCCCTTTACATTTTTTTCTTCTGATAAACACTCTCTAAACAGGATTTCTTAGTTAGAAAATATGTACAAAGTTCCCAGTATGAATACGACCACAGCATCACCGACTCGTCCTGTGCAGGCTTGACTATAGAATCGTAGAATCGTAGTGCAGCGGCGCCACAACAGCGGCATCTCTGAGGTTTATCACATGGAAACATGACACAGCGTCTTAGTAAACCTAACAGTGACATCTGGCTACTGTGTGACTTGGTGACTTCTAGCAAATATAATCTGTAATTCAAAATAGTTGAATGTTTAGAGTTAGTTGAGGTCATATTTCTATGCAATCATCAATGAGGTGTCAACGTCTACTGCAGAAGAAGAAAGCAAGGTGTAAGGCTTTCTATGTTCTTTCCTGTCGTTTAGACTAGAGGTCACTGTGTGCAACCCTTCAGAGGCTCTGTGGTCTTTCCTCTATAAAAACACACATTTGGCTTTTCCTGAAATTTCCTAAATCAGTTTTTTTTTTGCGCCAGGAAATTTTTGAGGTGAAGGTAACAAGGTAATATACTGTTGACTTCCTGTTTATATGTATAACCTGTATCTATGTACTATTTTTTTTCTTCCTAAAAAACACTACCTTTCTGTCAAATACAGTTTTTAAACTGCAATACACAGGCATTATTTTTTAAACTACACTTAAACAGTTGAGGGGCAATTTTAAAGTGAGAGGTTTAAGCAGCAGCACCTTTAGGAAAAAACAAGAATTGTTAAATAGTCATGCTCATGCCTTCAGCTCTAATACATTAAATATGTGTTTAAAAAAGAAACATATATATGATCGAGGGAGGTTGTACACATTAAAAACAAAAACAAACAAAACCTTTGGGTACCTGGATAAAATCCCTACAAAACAAAATGGCAGCACAATAAAGTGTAAAAAAATAAAGGTTTTCTTTCAAGGTGAATAAAGACATAATTGTTTACTCACTGGGTTTTCTTTCAAGGTGAATAAAGACATTATAATTGTTTACTCACTCAGGCAAGAACAAAACAAAAAAAAAAATCTCAGTCCATTAAAGTGTGCAGTCTTACATGTGGTCAAAATAAACAAAAAAGTGATAAAAATTAAAAATAAACTAAAAAAAAGTTAAGAATGTCACCACTTTTCCTTAGGTTCTCTTATTGCCCAGTCTTTTAAAAACACTAATGGCTTTAATGTCCATCTGGGCGCCTGCAGACTCTCCTGCACTTCCCTCTGCTCCTCCACCTCCTCCACCACACCCAGTGCTACTGCTGACCTTTGAGTTTGCTACGGCCTGTCTCTTCAGGGTTCTGGTTCTGGTGCTGCTCACTCGGTTGTCCTGCGTGTCGGCCAATGAGGTCGACGCGGGCGTGTTGGATTGCGTGACAGGAAGCTTCCCCAGTCTCTGAAGGACACTGATTTTGGCGGGAGGAAGGCCGTCAGGGGCAGAAGAGGAGGACGTGGGGGGGTCAGAAGGCGGTAGTTTGAATTTCCCCCCCAGCCGCCGCAGAGTGGTCGGTGCAGGTTTTGCAGCTGGCTCCTTTTTCTGGGAGGGAGTGGATCTCTTCAAGACCCCGGCGTACTGCAGAACAGAGCCCTCGCCGTCACTGTCCTCCTGCTCGTCCACCTTCACCTTCACCGCTTTCGATCCAGCCAGGACTCCCTGGTCAAGACGACTGAACACACCAGTTGGCTGCCAAAACACAAGCACTCACTGTGTAAAATAAGTGTAGTAACACAGTGGGAGAACTCAGTCCAGTGACTAGTCTCACCTTGTTATTGCTTGTAGTGTCTGCCAATGACTCAGATCCAAGTCTGGCGAATACAGAAGTGCGTTCCAAACCTGTGTAAATAAAGGAGACAATAGAGTTCATTCTCACAGTGCAGTGCCAGCTTGAATGTGGAAAAAACCTACGCTATAATTATTGTGGGTAAAAAACTTTCTGAGGTAAGCAGTGTGTTGTATGATCAAACTGTTCTCACTTCTGTTCTTAACTACATACGAATAAAGATCTATGGTCAAATGAAGCTGATTATAACATTAAAATTAAATCTATGCTCTCAGTTGATTGAATGATTGAGAAGGACAACAATGCATGCTAATGAACTCGTACAAAAAAGGAACAAAAAATCAGGTACTCAGAGGAGGGATGCATAAGAATGCAAGGCTGCTGCATTTGATTAACAGAGACAATTTCTTTAGAAATGTTTCCAGGCACTGGCTGAATCACTGAATCATCAATCTTTTCGAAACCAGCAATTGTCTTTTTTGTGCAGACATTCACATCAATTTGTCACATAGGACCTTTAATCTACACATTTTGCTGAGAAGGCACTTTTATTTAAAATATTTCTATCTTGCAGTTAAACTTTCAACTCAAGAAAACAGCTAATCTTTTTAATTAAACAATATGAACAACATGGCAAAGAATAAAAATCTTTGCTACATAAAATACAAACTGTTTCATGCAACAGAAAAGGCCAGAGTCGACCACAGGAAAGTGAAGTGAAACGAGGACAGAAGTAGCGGACGCAGTGAGTATTGTTAGTGAGACACAGGATTGGATTTTCAGAGACATGAAGGTGTTGATTTGCCAAATTCACCTGGATCAGTTTCAGGAGGAAACGGGCCCAGATTTTTAGTTTGGATTATTGTGGAGTTAGCAGTTCAGTTTGACTGAGCTCTCTGTCAAGGCCAATGGATCAGGCCTACCTTTCTTGGCCTGTTGCGCCAGGATGCGTTGTGTACGAGGTGTTGTGCCTTTGGGCATGTTGATGATGTACTTGCCTTCCATCTCCGCTGTCACACGTCGGCGCTTGACGGACGGCAAACTGTTCCCCTCATCAGCTGGCTGACTTATGACTGACAATCACAGTGGTGAGTGGACAGGGATTAGACAGAGGGAAGAAAAGGAAAAGACAGGGCTAGTATAACAGGGTTTGGTAGAATCTACCTGCTTTGTTGCTCTTGTTTGCTTGCATGTTGGACACTGTGACAGAGAGACGATTGTCAGGTCGACGGGCTGGCGTTGCTGGTGGGGAGTCATGGCTCAAAGCATTGGCAATCATACGGGTTGCAGCTGAAATACAAAATTTGGTTTTTAATTAACTTCCTCATATCTATACGGCTAAGGTATTCTAGTCACCAGACAGATATAACAAATCTACTACTGCTTATTTACTACAGCTATATATGAGTTGGAACCATAATCTGATAAACAACACTCCAGTCTGTCTGAGGTTTTCTCTATAAAGATGAAATATCTTCACTCACGAGTATTGGCGGTTCTTCTGAGCTCAGCTTGAACACTCGTCTGCCCTGAGGTGATGGCTTCTGTGGCCATTTTGCACATGTCCTATGTATGAGGGAGCACAAACGCACATCTGTGTGAAATTTAAAATACTCTAATAGACAACATGTGGTTAAATCTCTTTTTTTTACTAGAATTGAGATGAAGAGAATACGGTGATTAATTTGACTTTGACAGTTTTCATCTCACCTGTCTGTGCACCTGTTTGGCGTGTTTGAGAATGGCAATGATATCACCAACCACAGTAATGCCGAGGTCCATCATGATATCTTTACTGAGGTCCATCAGCATGTTCTTTTGGATTCTGCAGCAGAAGCGAGGTACAAGCGAGTTAAATGCAGTTTTACACGGCAGATGAAAAACAAAGGGTCCAGCAAAAAAGAAAAACCCACAAATACGACTAAAGGCAAATACACTGAATGGGTTGTAATATATTTTAGCGAGTGCAACAGGACTATTTGAAGAATTGTCCGTTTGAATTACCTGTTGTCCACAAAAGAGACTGCATATGTGACAGCCAGACCAGGTGGGATCCCTGCATCTTTGAAAAATTGGATCCACTCCGAGGTGGCTTAAAACAAAATAAAGAGACAGAGATTTAACAAAACACAAAAAACAGCCAAGTAATACCCAATAACTATGTTTTTTATTTAATCATGCATTTATTTTATTTTAAAAGCTAGAAGTATACATTTTTTTAAATTATAAAAGTGACTGGTTTATATGGTTCCTACATCTTCCCTTTCAATTTGATCATCTGCCCAAAGTAATGTGAACCATGACGAGGCAGAACATGTGCAATCGACACTGAAGCAGAAAACTGATTACCACACACAATGAACATCTACAAGAACATTTGACTCACAATTATGGGATGTAGGTGGTTTAAACAAATACATTATGTTTTTAAGTAACACTGTACAGTAGAGAGGGAGGCTGTCCTCCCACAAAGAGCCAATGGCAGATGTAAACTGGAGGAGACGTCAGCATGCTGATGCCTAACAAATTCCGACCAGAGCCAGCTGGAGGTTATTTTTAACACCAACCATGGATCAGATACAGTGTGAAAAGAAAGCATAACAGCTGTTCCAACAATGCCTCGACTGTGATGAACTCAGTTTCGCTGAGACACAAACTTTGTTCAGTGGCTACATTAGAAGGAACAAGGACAAAACTAACAATGACGATGGCACTTTTATGCTGGATGACGTTTTCCTCAGCTGACCAAACGTCATCAGAAAATCAGTCTAGATTGTTTTAGTCAACAATAAATAAATATGCAACATTAAGATTAAACATCCATATAAACCAAAACAACATATAAAACAGATACAATGATGCTACAAAAGTGGCCTTTTGATGAAGAAACCTGTTTATAAAGCTTACAAGGTAACGGTGGTTAATTAAATCTGTAAGAATGATCATATTTATCATTTTGGGTAATAGAGTGAATCAAGAGAAGGTTAAAATCATTCTTCACGTGTAATAGTAATAACCTCTACAATACAATAGCATTTAGACAATAATTACCAATGTTTATACCGTGCTTGTTAGTTCGTGTGAACACTCGTACGCTCATTTCATACATTATCAATGGCTAAAGTAACAGGCCAAAAAGCAATTTATTTTTTCTATACCCATTTTTTACAGCTTAAGTTGAAAAACACCAATGTGATAAAGCGCTGTTTGAATAAGCATTAGCAGCGAACGCTAACCACCCTAAATAACGGGCACTACTCGTCATCAAAATTGCTTCAAATAAGAGTTCACTTGTACGCAGAGTATCAACAAGCTATTTTACATTGCATAATACATGTATGTAATAAACAACGGCTTAAAAGGTCAAATTAAACGTCAACTCGCCGGGCCTTTTATTCTCACCTGTTCCCACAGTCGCCATGTTGGAAACAAAAATATTCTCCGCCTCCGTGACGACACTTCCGTCAGAAGGGTTGACAAAAAAATTGCAGCGATGTTTTAAATTGTAGACGCTAGAGGACGACACAGACAGCGTTAAGACATCTTATTTTGAACGTAATTTAATATTGAAAATACAACAGATTGAATTGTACCATTAATTATTTATAATTATCAATAATAAAAATAATAATAATAATAAAAACGACTACTACTAATAATAAGAAGAAATATTTGAAATATGCAGATCTCATTAAAACAAAATTAAACAACCACAAATTATCACACATGAAGAAAATTATATTTAGAGTAACGATTGTGGGTACATAAATTCACAACAAAACATGTAGCTTATAATGTTTATTTAATTTTGCACAAATTAAGATAATAGTATTTGGTCTGAGAAGATGAATAAGCTGGTTCACACAGCTTTTCACTCCAGAAACGTATCCTATAAATTTAACCAGGCTTTTAAAGGTTAAAATCTGATAAGGCAACTGGAATGGTAGGTTTATTCGAAGAGGCTTCTTCAGTTCTTCAGAACCGAAGAATATTCTTGGATGAGAGGTGAAGAACCTACCAGTCCAGTTGCTCTTGATGTAACTACTTTGGATAAGATATCATTGATAACTGAGAACCTACACAGACACCCAGCCCCCCTCTCTCGCTCTCTCTACCTCTCTCTCTCTCTCTTTCTCTCGCTTACATACACACACATATTGGTTAGCATATGATCTAGTAGACATATGTCATGGCAATAGTATTCATCATAACCATGTCAAACACAGGTCAAACAAACACTGATGAGGAGAATGGTTAGACAAAAACGGTGTTTGCACTGAAGAAACAATATAAAACACTGTTACACAGTTTCTTCCTTTATCTTTATATGACCACATATCCCAATAAGTACTGAGGATTTCCTTTAGCATAGAGACCAAAGGGTAATGCACAAACCATCACACTGGACATATAGTAGCGGTCAGTTAAAGCACTGCATCATTTGCTACATTATGTTCATTTGGAAAATAACAGGCATTATGGCTGGGTCATAACATCAGAAAAATAATTTGGACAATTGGACAAAAAATATGAACACATTCACCTTATTATAGAAAATTAGGAAAGCTCTGTTACAGTACAGGTACAGGCAGTTTCTCTGATAAATGCAACCTCAGTTTTCTTCTTCCCTTTAACCGTCACTTTGTAACCTCACAAAACAAGTACTCTTCTTTTTTAAAGAGGAAAGTCAATGAAATCCAGGTCATAGATAAGGATAAAAGAAAAGAAATACCGAGGGATGAAGGGTTTGTGGTGTGTCTGTCTCTGTGTGTTACATTTAAAGATGCAGTGGTAAGTCCATATAAAAATGTTACAATGTTACACAGTACTTCCTGTGCTCTAAGAATTTACAGGGGAATCTACTGTGTTACCAATTTGTTTTTGTTTTTTTTGAAAAAACAAAATGTGAGACCAGAAAAGTGTCACTCAAATCCTTCTGCAACAGCTTACTGTAACCGGAGTACAATGAGAAACTGCCTGGTATTTATAGTATACTCTAAGTAGCACCAGAAAAAAACAATATATTTATATACATGAGAACTAGTGAATATGTCTTAGGCTTATTGTCACGCAAGTACATATTCTCATCACATTTGCATTTGGAGAGAAGTGAGAAAAAAATGCATCCCCGACATGTGTATGAACAAATCTCTTATTCGTCTGTCAGAAAAGTGAGGTCTGCCACCAAGAGCCACATGTCATACTTTCAGTATGGTCATTGCTTCAAATAAACATGTTTATTTATTAAAAATAAAGATTTCTTATTAAGCAAATACAACCATGTTTTTTTTTTTTTTTTGTAAATTCACTTCAACAACACATTAGACTGGAAACAAAGGTGGAAACAAAGTCAAACATAATAATCTGTAGTTTGTATCAGAATGAATGCCAAAGTTTGGAGACTGGACAGCAATGGAGTATGGGTATAAACCATTTTGTGCTCACATCTCCATCGATGACTGTTTAGCCATCATTGTGAAGTATTGATTTTTTTTATTGGACTTTCAGGTTTTTTTGTTGTTTTTTTGTTGCTTAGTGGCTTTGATGTGTCAGTAGCTTTGTGACAGACCTCGTACAGAAAGAACAAGGAAAAAAAACAAAAAAAACAAAGACAAAGTGTGACCACAACCTTCCGACATGAGAACCATTAACATACATTTAATGTAACTGAATAGTGCCTTATATTGTTTTACAAAACATAAATACACATTAACAGAGTTGGAGACATCGTGCTTCATGTCAAAGGACAGGGCAGTATTCTTTTTTTTTTTTACATTTTATATACTTCTGTTCTTCTTTTAGAAAAATATTATATTTTTAAAACTAAATCTTATAATGTTTCATCTTGTTCTTTAATGACAAAAATATCCCATTTAGAGCTGCAGACATTCATACGTTACAATCATGGTACATACACTTATACATACATATTATTTGTAAATGTATATGCATATAGCCTTATTATTAGATTTTCTTTTTCCGTAGTGCACAACATGCCTCTGGAGTTGCCAAACAAAAACACAATAACATAATGAAATAATAGTTACAATTCAATAATAATAATAATAATTATTATTATTATATTATTAATAATAACAATAATAGTAACAGATATGAGGGAATCTCAAAAACAAAACGTTAAAAAAGAAAGGAATGGCAACAGTAGGCCTACATAAGAAAGCAGAGGTCAATGCAAAAAACAACTGAACACACACACACACAAACAAACAAACAAACAAACAATAGAATATATAACAATTGTCACTCAGATGCACAGGAAAAAAAAGTTTTACAATTTCACAGGCGTTTATAGGACGGTCACTCCACAACATCGGCCCACATTTTTCCTCTTTTGTTTTCCGGTCATGCTTTTTGTGCTCACTCACCAACTCAACCTCAATAAAGAAAGAAATAAACGGGCCAGGTGCCTCGGCGCGGACGCACTCACAAATGAATGTGATCATCCCCACTGAGTGAACAGAGGAGGCACGGAGACAACTGAGCCCAAGGCTTAGAGGTTGTCTGAAAGCTCTTTTTAAATAAAGGCATCGATTCACATCTGATTGATTCTGAGCAGAACACTGAGCTGGTGCGATGCAAGTATTCGTCTGTATCTTCAGTTCGACGACTGGAGAGTGATGGTGAGCGTAAGCTCATGTAGGCCCAGCGTGATGAGGCTTCATGGTATGGAGATGTCTTTATGGGGGTCTCACTCCCGAGCAGTTGGCAAAAGCAGAATCCTCTTTCTTTCACTTTTTTTTTAATATGTTTTTTTTCTCTTAAATCTGCCTCTTTTTTTGACAGCCTCACAACATCTGTTTCCATCTAGTTTGCTGCTCCTACTTCCTCGCTTTTAATATCGTCGTCCATCCTCATGTCTCACTTGCCTCGGGGCATGACTGTAATATTCTTGTTGTGAACGTCACAAAAAATGGCTCAGCGAAGGACAGTGGCATCCGTCTTGCATTTGGATTCATCAATTATTTGTCTGCGTGCATGGGTTTAAAGTAATTAGCTGCTTCACTGTGAGGATCCTCTTTGAGCCATGCACTCCATGACAAAGGTTCTTCTGTTTTGGGTCTTGCGTCCATGTCCTTGTATGAGAAGGTGCATAAGGATGTGTTAGGTGGGCTGGCAGTCACTCGAGGTCCCAAGGGCTGGTGGGGGTCTTCGGACTCTCAGGGGTTGAAGACTTCAGAGACAGGGAGAAACACAGAGAGAGAGGAGAGAGACAAGCAGATGGGTAGAGATGGTTCGCATGGCAGGTAGTCACAGGGCAGAACAAGTTTGAAAGCAAAGGGGAAAAAAAAGCACACGGTTTAGTGGAGGCGGTCACAGTCACATCCCCAAGTCCTAGCAGCAAATGAAGAAGCAGGGCGAAGTCGAGTACAAAAAGGGTTAGAGGCAAAAGCAAGTGATTAGCAGTCGTCAGTCTCCCACAAAACTGCAGGACCTGAACAACGTGTCCTCAATCCCATCTGGAGATTTGTACAAATACACAAAGAAGACGGAAGCAGGAAACAGGAAGGAGAAGGATGGAAAAGGATGAGAGCACTGGAACAGGGACACCTGACAGAGGGAACTAGGCTGGGACTCGGGTGCTTGTTGTGAAGTGACTAGTCAGAGAGAGATTGAGAATATTCACTTTAAATCTGTTCAACTCAAACACTAAATTTGGCAACTCGACTCAATTACTACATTTTACTCCCTTATCTGGGATTTTTTTCCAATGGTCCAGTGGGTAACATTAGTGACATCTAATGGTGGCAATGATAACACACAGAAAAGTCTCTCTGTGCAGTACACCACATTTTTAAGTTACACAAACATAGCGATGCAAAATGGCTGCCCCCACAAAGCAAAGCCCTTGCTTACAGTCTAAATAAAAGGCGTATCCCCAGGCTACAAGAACCACACGGTTTTACATTATTGCTAATAATCTGTCCTAAATGTTTCACACTGGACCAAGACTTGATTTGGCTGGTTTTCCGAATACGTCAACTTTTAGAAAATTTTCTCGTATTTCTCAATCTGTGAGGCTGATTGGCACTGCGCGTACAGTATACTTGCCTCAGCCTCTACCTCCAGCGAGTATAATGTTTTGGGGTTTTGATATGTGCTTGCTTGGGTCTGTCGGTTAGTCAGAGCGCCAGCAGCGAAGGTGAGTTCAGGGAATCAGATGACTGCTCGCTACTGCTGTTCCTGTGGTTGGCACTGACCCCGCAGGCTCCCTCTGGGTAGGTGAACACAAATGAAGATGTGTATGAGGTGTTGTAGCTGCCAATGGCCGCTTCGTCATGGTTACCACCACCAACACTGTCGCTGGCCATAAGGCACGGCCCACCAGCTGCTGGCTCACTGGAGCCATAGAAAGAACTAGAAAACTCTACCTCCTGCATTATCCCTGGCTGAGGCTGCTGCTGGACTTGCGGCTGCTGGAGTTGCTGCTGCTGAAGTGGAGGCTGCGACTGTGAAGCAGCCGAATGGGCCGTGTAGGCAGGAGGCAGAAAGAATGAGTCTTCCTTCATAGTCATGCCCACAATGGAGACTGGAGGTGGTAAGTTCTGAGGAGGCAGCTGGGACTGGACTGGAGGGAGATGCACTGAACCCTGCTGAGGCTGGTCCTGATATGGGATCTTACAGTTTGGCTGGTGGGCCACCAGGACAAACTCCAGGCGTTCTTTCTCCTTCTGCAGCTCAGAAATCTCAGCCTCCAGCTCTGCTTTCGCCTCCTCCAGTATATCTGTCTCCTGTGAGTAGGTACAGAGAATGGTAGAGTCAAAGGGGCAAAGGAAAGGAGGTGAGAGTGGGTGAAATGAGGAAGGGAAGGGAAGAGAAGAAAGAAAGTTAGGAGGACCAAACATCAGTGCAGTCTTTGTGGAGGAGGATGCTACCGTTTTAGAGATGACTTTGTCAACAAAAATAGAAATGTAATGTCACCATGTTTAAATAGCCGGGCTACAATATTTTGAAATTGACTGGCTAACTGACAACAATTAGCACATTCTACAGTGTTGTCAGGAGTGACTATTAGTCATTGTTACTTATGCAAGGCCACGCTCACCGACTGCAATCTGTCCGTGAGTTCTCGTCTGCGATTTCGGCACTTGGCAGCAGCCAGTTTGTTCCTCTCTCGACGAACACGCCTCTTCTCTTCCTCCTCAGGTGTTAACTTGGAGAGCAAAGGAAAATAAATGGATTAGAAAAAAAGTTTTGCGTTGAGTGTAGAGAATGTAATGTGGGCTGTTGAAGCAGTGGAAGCTAAGTCTTTTGAACTGTTTTGCCGTATCTGCTGCTTTTATGTCCATAGTAATAATCCAGTACGAAACAGCTAAATTTGGGATCTGATCAAATCTAAAGCATGGCTGAGATGTTTTTTCTCTCATTCCATAGAATAGTGACTGATCTAATGTAATGCAATGTAGTTAGATCTAATTTATTTATTATCTGTGAGGTTTTGCCTTATATGTAATATATAGTTTTTTATTGTTAATGTTAAATTATACTTTAAAGTAACACCACAGCAGACTAGAGCAGTTCTTAAATGAATTGACTCTGTATGTGTAACAGGTGAAGTCCATCAAACAAACCGTTCAAACACACACACTTACTAACACACCAACATCTCCATCCTCACTCACAGACTCGTCTCTGGTGCGACGGCTGCGGGTTCTGGACTGGCGGACTGGGCCCAGGGCTGGGCCGGGAGTTTCTGAACTTGAAGGAGTGAATCCAGAGCTAGAGGAGTAACTGGGACCTGGCATGTCATACGGGTCCACCAGTGACACTGGCTGGGTCATGGTGGTGGTACCGGTGGAGCCACTCTGTCCAGATGCCTGTGAGGAGATCAGGGTGGGCTGTACCATCCACTGCAGGTCCTGACTGGTGGTGATGGCAGTGACGGTGGGCACAAATGAACCAGGCATCTCCTCTCCTACGCTTGCCCCTAGCCCGCTTCCAACAATGCTCAGGCCAGCTCCCACTGACACACACTCCTGTGGGTGAAAAAATGTCAACATGTTAGAACACATTTCATCAGTAAATATATCATGTTAATTTAAAATCAGGAAAAAAAAGATTTTGAGATATTTGGCATGTTTTAAAAATGAATAAAACAAAATAAAATTACACAAAAAACTGTGAAGCTACGTTTACATGCTAACTACCTTTACATGCTTATATTGTGTTCATAAAATGGGGAGAAAAAAATAAACCTTATTTTTGCTCTTATATGACAGAGTTATCGGCATTATATAATCTAACATAAAAACAATGTGTATTCCCTTCAATTTAACGTAAAATGTCTCTCAAAGACGTAGCATATAGCAATACCTAGCATACAGCAACATCAAGTGGTGAAGTTACATGCTAATGCTTCTCCCACCATTATTATATAACAAAACACAGAAAAGTTTACATCTCCACTAGGTATTTTTAAATCTATCTCTACACGAAGTTTATAAAGTTTAAAATAATTTTGAACAAATGTGGCTAATAGGGTTAGCTTAAGCTACATTGGTTCAAATCAGGCATGAGATTTAAACTATTATATTCTACAATATGTGGGATTTTACCCACCAGATAGGCTATTCCTGGTAAATATGGACAACCCAACAAAAATATATTTTTATGAAACCTGTTGCTATGGTTTTTAAAGATTCTGTGACGACAATATGTATTATTATTATTATGATGATTAATAATAATCACCATAATAACGCCTGTTTGTTACTGTATTGTTTCCTCATTAATATTAATTTAATGCGTGGTCAGAGAGCGGGGCGGCAGCTGTAAAGATTTTAGCCAATCGTTTCTCTCTTCCAGCGTCTTCCTCCTCCTTCTTCCTCCTCCGTCGTCACGCCCCCGGTGTTCCCCCTGGCAACGCAACGTAGCTCTCCAAAATAGAACGAGCATTGACGTCACGGCGAGGGCTGTGAGAGGAGAGTGTGGAGGCAGGGGCGGGGCTACGGCGTTGACGTAACAGAGAGTTCCTTCACGCTGTCAACCGACGTGCGGCGTGCACGCTGTCAAAGCCGGCAACCGGCAACTCGGAAAGGCCGGTAAACATAAGGTGAATGGTCCGTTCGCTCTGTGGGACTAACTGTTTGATCGCGGTGACGTATTACATCCCGGGAACACTCGTGTTTGCTTCGCACCGACAAGCTAAAGCTAATCGGGTAATAAATAATATTCCGATGCAGACAATATGAACTTACTGCCCTTCACAGCACCGCAAACCGCCCATATTAATGAGGAACAAGCATTAGTCTACGATTATTCACACAACAACAGCGATTTCTCCGGGCTGTGGCTTTTTATTTACTTAAATTATTTACTCAAATTTATTTACTGCAGAACACGGAATATCTCACAATAATAACGTTGGTCATGGACGTAACACATTCAAGGTCGGTTGTCAACAAAACAAAAAAAGTATTGACAGGTGAAACTTATTACGTGGAAAATGACACACAAAGAATTGCATGCAGATTTCGCGTAGTAAATAAATGTTTAAAAATAGTAGGAGTAGTTTCTAATATTAAGAGGTCATGGTTATTACAAAGGAGCAGCAGTCATTTAGTCTTTAACGTACGAATATCATATAGCCTATCATTAAGTCTGTACAACACTCAAATAACGTAACATGCGATTTACAAGTAGCAATGCAACACGTGAGGGAGAGCGTTCTCAATGGCTTACCTGAGGAGCAGTGGAGGTCGATGGACTCCCGAAGGAGTCCACGGAGGAGAGACACTGGGACTCTACGGATGGAGACGAGCTCTCACGGGATCCGCTGTCGGGGTCACCGGGGAAGCCTTGGTACATCTCCCCGTAGGGCCCGAGAGAGAGGGTGACACCTGCTGTCACAGTAGAGAGCAGGGCAGTCACACCTGCACACACGCACACACACACGCACGGGTCAGTGAAGACGTCTCTCCTGTAGGATGATTAACACACATCGCCATCAACACAAGCCATGGTGGTTGAGGTAATCTATAGCTAACCTAGTTAAAGTTTCCTTAACCAGAGTTGTGTTCAGCAGAGTTTCCACTGCCGATTCGTAAAACTGCTCTTATTTGTTTATTATTTGTTATAATGTCCATACAAAGTCAAAAATGACTCACTGTTGTTATTCCCGGGTGAGATGCTCTTGGTTTCTTTCCAAAAAAGTTGCATGAAGAAGCTTAATCCGGTTCCCCTGCGTTCAGGAAGGGGAAGATTGTGTCCCTGTCCAAGCTTTATCAGAGTCCTTCGGCGTTGCCTTTAGATCCTTAAGTTTATCTGCGGCTCATCTGATCATAGATCCATAAAGTCCACACGCGACGTGCCGCTGGAGGAGGACAGCCTCGGTGCTACGGCACACGGAGCAGGTCTTGTCTTATGAATGAATACATCCTCCTCGAGTACAAACAAGGCATTTCTAGCGCGTAAGCCACGCCCCCGGGGTTCCGCTGATGACGTACATATGCCCATATTTGTGCTTCGGTGTTGTGTTTGGTATCCTTGGTGACGTTGAGGGATTCCCTCTCCCACTGAAATGGAGCAGAAGCTCACCTCGCCGGCGGATAATAATAGATGTTTTTTTTTTAAACATTAACATAGACACGAGATATTTCTCACCGTCTGACAATTTAGAAGAGGAAATTTCTACAAACTTTGGAGTGATAGAAATGGAAAGAATCTATTTCAGGCTATCTTGTGCAGACGTCTGCGTTGATGTCGTTAGACCGTGGTTATATTCCTTCAACATTTACAGTCGCGACTGTAGCCTAAATATTTACATTCATTCTACATGACATCAGTGGCACCGTTTTTTACACTTTTCTTTTTCTTTTTTTCACTTTTACACAACTTTAACACAGAATACACGAAAAGACGATGCGATAGAATAGTTTGTGAATAACGATCAAAAAATATACGACATGAGATACACACACATATCTATATACAACAATACACGATAGCTAAAGTAGGAAGATGAGATAAAAAAAGTATGTAAGACAAAATACGTTTATTTTAGACGGCATTAGATGACGTAGAATAGTAATCAATAAAGTAAGATGACGCTAGATAAAACAGGTCGATTACACACGTTACGAGATAAATGATATGACACGAAAGGGCATAAAATAAGACCACGTCAAATGACCTGAAGATGACATGAGACAAGATGAGACGACACGGGGGCGAGATCACGAGATGCGATCAGATGTAAGATCATTGTATCGTGCTATTTGAATGACAGTTGATTGAATACCTTGTTTGTATGTTTACGCATATATTAATCGTTCATATGGAAACTTAGATGACATATGAAGCATAGTAACAAACCAGAGAAAAACAACACGAGGAAAACATGCTTTGAAAAAAAGAAACGCACTACATGCACAATGTTTACATGACGCAGCTCGCCGAGGTA